TAGCCTAGTCTGTCCCAGAACTCTTACCAATCCTGTCTCAGCCCTTTTTTTTTTACTTTTATTTATTCCTCTCTCATACAATATATCCCAACTGCAGCTTCCCCTCCCTCTACTCCTCCTTCCCCTCCCCCTCCAACTCTCCCTCCTGCAAATCCACTCTCCTACCCCTGCAGGCCTCCCAGGGACATCAACTGAACACATCACAAAGTACATTAAGGGGTTGGGAACTTAGCTCAGTGGTGGAGGCAAGGCCCTGGGTTCGATCCTCAGCTCCAAAAAAAAAAAACCCACCAACAACAAAAAAATGAAGTACATTAAGACCAGGCACAAACCTTCACATCAAGGCAGTTCGAGGCAACCCAATAAGTGGAAAGGGATCCTAAGAGCAGGCAAAAGAGTCAGACCCCCCCAGTCCCACTGTCAGGAGTCCCCCCAAAAACCCCATGCCAGTAACCATAACATATATGCAGAGAGCCTATCGTGCAGGCTGCAAGATTGCACATTCAGTCAGTGTGAGTCCTGTGAGCCCTGCTTAGTTGACTGCAGACTGTGCTCTCCCGGTGTCTTCACTGGCTCCCACAATTCCACCTCACCCTCTTCTTTGGGGTTTGCTGAGCTCTGAGGGGGAGAGATCCAATGGAGACCTCCAACCTGGGATGACTCTCTGCCTGATGTTTGGCTGTGGATCTTGTGCCTGTTTTATTTTAAAGTTATATTGTGTGTTTGTTTGGTTTTGGTTTTTCTAGATATGGTTTCTCTGTGTAGCTTTGGAGCCTGTCCTGGAACTCACTCTATAACCCAGGCTGGCCTTGTGCGTGAGTGAATGCATATAATGGTGTGAACAGAGCCTAGAATGTGCTAGATAAGAGCCCTATCACCCATACTCAACATCATGTTGAGTTGTGTTGAGTGGCACCACCACTGCCCGGCACAGCCAGCGTTCCTTAGAAGAGTCAGCAGATCTAGTCCTCGCCTGACCAGAGCATGGAGATGTACCACAGGTGGGATTCACATCTCTCTCTTCCTTTCTCTCTCCCTCCCATGACAGAATTGAAGCCATCACAAGCTCAGGACAGATGGGTTCTTTCATACGTTTGAAGCAGTTCTTGGAGAAATGTCTGCAACGCAGGGAGATTCCTGTCCCCAAAGGCTTTCTGACCTCCTCCTTCTGGCGCTCCTGATGTCCTCCGTCCTCAGTCATCACATCACGTTACATCGTGTTGCAGGAAGGGCAACAATAAAGCAACTGAGACAGCGGGTTTGGAAGAAATCATGTCAGATTCAGAGCTTCGTCAGGGTGTTTTGTAGATATCTGTACCATGTGACTGAGATTGTCATAGTTCCCAGCCTTTTGCCAGTCTCTTGTCAGAGTTTGTAGTTCCTGTAGATGTCATGGACAGAGCAACAGAGCTGGCCTTCCTTACTTTCTTATGTTATGGGAGAGGTAAGAAGGGGCAATTGGCTGCATCCTCTGTCTCTAGGATCTTTCAGAGAGTTGGGGATAATTTATCTGTTTCCCTCTGACCTGGAGCGAGCCCACTGTTTTCACATCCACCCTCTGCCCCATCCCTTTTCATACACATACTCAGAAAGTCAATCTCTTAAGATTCCCTTAAAGTATCATGTGATGTTTGAGGCCAATCTCTTCTGTGCAGCCTGGGTATGAGGTAAAATACTTCATACTTGATGGCTTGTAAACTACTTTTATATTCAGAGGACATATATGATGTAGGCATGGACTGAACCTCAGAGTGCATCAAGTTAGCGGGTATGTGGATCAGGACTAGGAACATACAACTATAGAGTGCTCTCCGTCTTCTTGATCTGGAATTTGGTCCCTGGATAGCTAAGGATGTTGTATGAGATCAGGTACCTTCTTGTTTTTTCTCACAGTAATGAAGATGGGCTGAGATATGGCTTGCAGCATTAGGTGTGGGCTGAAGATCATTAGCAGTGAATGCATTGGTCATTAGGAGGAGCTGATTATATCAGATGGAAGTTGGTATTTGTTTTAGGAATAGATTGACTCTCTGTGTACTGCAGAGGGCCTTGTGTGGTGGGTGTTTATTGGTTCTCTTGAATGGCCTAAGCGTTTCAATTGTTGACTACAGTGCCCCAAAAAGCAATAAAGCTTGAATTTTCAAAAATCCTCTGCTATTATGTGGTTGCCTCAATATTATCTGTGTCCTGTGAGCAGTGTATGTAAATCCTATGGACATGGATGTCTACAGGTCTAGGTATGGAATATGTATTTCTTCCTCTTTATCTTCATCTTGGAAAAACTGGGTTTGTATCATTCTTTTTTAAAAATGATGTCCCAATAACTGACTTTGATCTAGCAAGAGTTGTGGAGGGTTGAGGCTCCACATTTTCCTAGCCTGCAGGAGACCTTGGGCTCCAGCTGCAGTGCCTTTCCCCAGGAAGAAAAGTTAGAATATTAAGTCCTCTAATGTAACAGAACACTATGTACACTTGAGTCAGGAGACTGGACTCCATTAATTTTTTTATATTAAAAATGTAAAGTTCAAAAAAAAATGTAAAGTTCTAGTCCTTGAATGCTATTATTATAAACTATTTAGGATAATTAAATGCAGGTTAGTAGTTGGTCATCTCTAACCATCAGACTGGTAGTCATGTTAGGTCCGTTTTCAAGGTCAGAGATATACTTTAGATAGGTGCTCTTCAAACACTTCAGAGACCTGCAGAACATGACATTTAAGATATTTTAATAACATAAGGCTTTTCTTGATAGTGATATATATCTGTTCCTAGCAGCACCAATCTACTTCAGAGAAGATGATGGGCATAGAAGAACCTCCATATAGTTTACTTTCATTTGTGGCAAAGTTAGTCATTGGGCAAGAAACTGCCCTTGCCTCAACTGCTGACAGTATGGTGTCCAAATTGGATAAGCAGGACACAAAAGGCAACTGCTGAGCTTTGCCAAGACAAGGTAGGACAGTCCTTCAAAATTTCTGCTTCACAGGAAAGTTTTAGACATGCTAGGCCTGTAGGCCAAAGATGGATGCCCCAGCGTTACAGAGGAACCTGACTGTCCAGGATGTCTCTGTCATTTCTATAGTTTTGGAAGTTATTTGCTCTGCACTTCCTGTTTACTCCAGTAGTTTATCCTTCTCAAGTCTGATGGGGTTGAGGAATAGTTATACCATTTTCTTTGTTACCAAATTCAGAAAAGAAACTTAGAAAAGAGTTGTAAAGTTTATAAGGTTGAGAGACATAAAAGCTTAAGTTGTTTATCTAAGAAAATATTTTAAGGTCTAAAAAGCTTTTTTTGTTTGTTTTGTTTTTCAAGACAGGGTTTCTCTGTAGTTTTGGTACCTGTCCAGGATCTTGTTCTGTAGACCAGATTGGCCTCAAACTCACAGAAACCTGCTTGGCTCGAGATCCTCTTGAGTGCTGGGATTAAAGGCATGTGCCACCGCCACTTGGTGAAAAAAAAGATATTTTTAGGCTGGTAATACAAGTTATGATGGAAAGTGGGTTAGTAATAAAACTTTGGACTCATCAAGATAGAATAGATACTAGAGTAATTTCTCTGAATTTGTCAAATACAAATGGACTGGACATTGCAAGTATAATTCTTACTTGTTTATTTTTTTTATTGTATATAGTTTCACTATGTTAGAGTTAAAACCTTTTTATCTAGACAATACCTAATAATTGTTCTTATTGTATATAGTTTTTCTGTGTTAGAGCTAAAGCCTTTCCTTTTTATGTAGACAAACAGGGCAGAGGGGGCATGTTGTAGAATATTTGACCGCACTGTGACACTCGAGACTATTAATAAAGTTAACCTTGAATTGGGGGTAGAGTAAGTGACTAACTGACCAGAATTAGCCAGAGATTTGGAGGACCCAGGATATGATAAAGAGGCACAGGAAGGAGTAGGGAGGGGCTTAGAAAGATTTGTGGGCCCTTTTGATCTGGGAAGTGTGGAGAGATGGTCATCTGGTCATTCCTCCACAGTTTCCTTTATCAGGTTTTTACCCCAATATCTGACGACTGTTTTTTTTATTTATATTAGAATAATTTAGATAAATGCTTCATTATATGGTCTCATGTGCAACACAGCATGCATGTGGAGGTCAGTGGACAACTTTGTGAAGTCAGTTCTCTTTCTACTTTTACATGGGTTAGGGTTCGAACTTAAGTTGTGAGGCTTACATGACAAACTCCTTTACTAGCTGATTCATTTCAGCAGCCTGAGAAAACCTTCGTTTTGGAATATTTGTTTACACTGTATGAAGACGTGTCACTGTGATTGATTTAGTAAAGAGCGAATGGGCAATAGCTAGGCAGGAAAGCTAGGCTGGATTTCTGAGAAGATAGAGAAGGGGACGAGGAATCTAGGCATGCAGATCACACCAGAAAGATGCCATGAGTCTGAAGAAGTTGGACATACAGTGCAGAGCGGAGGTAACCGAGCATGTAGCAGAAAGTAGATTAAAGAAACAAGTTAATTTGAGTTACTTTCATAATTGAAATAAGTCTCTGTGTTGTTATTTGGAGGCTGGTGACCCAAAGATAGTCCAACAAGAAAGCTTGCTACGTACCTTTTTTGTTTTTTGAGGCAGAGTTTCTCTGTGTAACTGAGGCTGTCCAGGACTCACTGTGTAGACCAGGCTGGCCTCAAACTCACAGAGATATGCTTGCCTCTGCCTCCCGAGTGCTGGGATTAAATGCACCACACCCAGGGAGAATACCTTTTTTTTTTTTTTTTTTTTTTTTTTTGGTTTTTCGAGACAGGGTTTCTCTGTGCAGCTTTGCGCCTTTCCTGGAGCTCACTTGGTAGCCCAGGCTGGCCTCGAACTCACAGAGATCCACCTGGCTCTGCCTCCCGAGTGCTGGGATTAAAGGTGTGTGCCACCACCGCCCAGCTGAGAATACCTTTTTTTAAAGATTTATTTATTATGTATTCAGTGTCCTGCCTGTATGTATGCCTTCCCACCAGAAGAGGGCACCAGATGTCATTATAGATGGTTGTAAGCCACTATGTGGTTGCTGGGAATTGAACTCAGGACCTCTGGAAGAACAGTTACTGCTCTTAACCTCTGAGCCATCTCTCCATTCCTGAGAATACCTTTTATAGCAATTTAATATTCTTCCTTTGGATGTCATGAGCAGTCTTGGCATTTGTCATTCGATGCTAGTTATCCTAATGGAGTCTCAAATGTGAACAAAGAAGACCATTGGAAGGCTGGGTTTTTGATACCCACTGATAGTGTTGCCTCAGCAACCATGACTGCCAGCTGACGCATGTAGCTCCATACAGGCACATCAGATTCTTTGCCACAGAATGCTACAAGTTACATTCCCTTTTCAGCTCAGATTCTCACTCATCTGCCTGCTTTCATTGCAGCTTGACCTCATTTCTTGAGCTGAGTGCCCAAATTTTTATCATGTCATTCGTTGTCCTATATCTTAGTGCAGATTTGATGATGCTGAAAGTTCCAGTAGGCTGCAACCTCTGCACATCCATCATACAGAAGAATGGGATGGCTCTGGGGGCTTCCCATTGGCCTGGGGAAAACATACACACACACCCATCAGGAATTCTGCGATGACTGCAGCAACAATCAGGTTCAGACATCCCTAGGTGCCAGGACAACACAAGCCACAGCGCTGCTCACATGTCCTTGTCACACCTGACTAATTCTCCCTTTTCTCTACCATACTTAATGAAGTCACTGGATTTCCTGTGGATCTACAACAAGCAGACAAGAGCTGTGGGCTTCCAGCAATGTGATGCACTTGCAAAAATAGCCATTGTAAAGGGGCTTACTGACAGTCCCTAGTGACAGCCAGGCTTCATTTGTTAGATAATACCCATCTAGGGGCTGGAGAGATGGCTCAGTAGTTAAGAGCACTTGCTGCTCTTGCAGAGGACCCAGGTTTGGTTCCCAACACCCTAGAGGAGGGTCACAACAGTCTGTAACTCCAGTGTCAGAGGATCCAATGTCCCTTTCTGGCCTCCAAGGGCACTAGGCATGCACATACTGCAGGCAAAACACTCATACACATAAAATATTTTTATTTTTTAAAGCAAGAGTTTGGAAAAGCAAGTATACATTTGGACTGCTCTAAGGCAGAGGACTGTTGATTGTAGTGCTGGGGATTGAGCCTGAGCTTCTCCTACTTGGGGACATAGTCTACTAATGGACAAAACTCCGGCTAGGGTTTTGCTTTTGAAGTAGGTAAACAGGTGGATGGGACAGTAAACTGATGCAAGCTTCAAGGCTCCGGAATGACTACTTAAATTGTCATTAGGCTGGTCTTTAGACAATGGAAAGCTCACATTGTCTTTTGAGGATTGATGTGGTTTATAAAACTGATTGTTAAAAATGTGTTTAAGGGGGCTGCAGGGATAACTCAGAGGTTAAGAGCACTGGCTGCTCTTCCAGGAGACCCGGGTTCAATTCCCAGCACCCACATGGCAGCTCACAACTGTCTGTAACTCCAGTTCCAGGGGATCCAACATCCTCATACAGACACACATGCAGAAAAAAAAAACACCAATGGGCATAAAGTAAAAATTAATAAATTCTTTTTTTAAAATGTGTTTAAGATTAGCAGGAGATCTGGGCATGATGGCACCTCCTCTGCAATCACACTCAGGAAGCTGAAGCCGGAGATTGTCATGAGCTCTAGGACTGATGAGGCCACAGCATGAGACCCTATCTCAAACAACAAAAACACAGCACATGCCACTAACCCCAGTACTCCAGGATGGCTCAGCAGGTAGAGAGGTACATGCCACCAAGGTTGATGCCCTGATTTGATCCTGGGGTCCTCATGGTGGAAGAAGAACCAACTCCATCAAGTTGTCCTCTGACTTCCATACGTGTGCTAGAGAACACATGAATAAATGTGATAAAAAAAAAATTAATTATGTAGCCCAGCTGGTAGAATATGTTCACAAGTGCCCAGCCCAGATTGCCAGAACTTTCTCATCCTAGGTGGAAACTGGTCCCATGAAGCAATGGTCTTTCCCCCCAATTCTGTCTCCCCTCAGTCCCTGGCCATCAGTATCCTACGTTCTCTCTCCGATCTGGCAGTTGCAGGGTTGTGAGGTAAGCAGAATCATATAATATTGGTCCTTCTGTGTCTGGCTTATTTCACATAGCACAGTGCCCTCAAGTTTCACCCAGTCACTGTGTTTGGAAGACGTGTGCGACTGGCTTGCCAGCTCTACTGCAGCATGTCATTACATCCATCTTGTCAGCTTCTTGTCTCCCTGTAAAGGGAGAAAAATAATGCAAGCACTTGCTTTTGAACTTTGCAGAGGGTGCAAAATAGCGGTAGAGAAAGTGGACAGGTGGCTTCCCGTGGTTGTGATGGGTAAAACCCAACAATTAGCATATTCCCCAACCACCAACTGACCTTTTGAACAAAGGATCAGGGCTGCATAGAGTGTCAATCTAGGGCTGTGGAAACTGGGAGAAGCTTACATTCCCTCGGGTTCACTGCTTGTAAGGGGCCAGGAGAGGTTTGCTGAGAACGTGGAGCTGAACCAAGCTGTCACACTGTGCCGTGCCTGCTTTACTTCTTCCCTCGGAAGTTCTTATAAAACGGGCTTATCATCTGGAATATCCTCTCCCTGTCCCCATGCCTAATAAAACGTGAGGCGTGTGCTGAAATTGGTGGGAGGGGGGAAGCAACAACAGAAGCCATGAAGAGCGGCTTTTTGATGGCTCATTCTGCTGCCAAATGAGCAGATGAGTGGGCGAGTGGGAGCCTAAGGTACTGTAACCTGGTCATTCTTCTGCTCAGAGAAAGGATCAACAAACAGGATCTTAGTTTCCAAATCAAAAGAGAGCTCTAGGTTTCTGATCTGTTCAGCATTTGGTAGAAGCAGTAGAACCCCTATTTCAGTCTGGGGCCAGGGTGATAAATACCCACAGCCCTGATCCCATCCTTTGCCACTGAAGCATAAGGTCTGACAAATCTTGGGGAGTTAGACTTGGATTAGCCATCTTGTACCCAAGGCTGACTATCTGATTTTAAAATTTGCTGCTACTGGCTGAAGTGGTGGCTACTGTGGTCACCATCAGCTGTTTTCAGAAATGCACAGTGTACATCCTGCTGTGGTGACACACACCTTTTAATCCCAGCACTCAGGAGAAAGAGGCGGGGGATCTCTGAGTTCGAGACCAGCCTGGACAATAGAGTGAGTTCCAGGGCAGCCAGAGCTACACAGGGAAACTGTCCGAGGGAAACAAACAAACCCCAGTTCAGGAAGCAGCTCCCCAACCTGTTTTCTCTGTAATGAAGATTGCAGGAAATGCCTCCTTTCCTCAAGATTTGTGAAGCTGCTTATGGGATGTGGCCGCTCTTTTTCTGTCTCTCCACTCCAAGGAAAGGGACTAGGAATTTTTCTTCACTATCATGCATACAGCCAGGGCAGCTTAGAAGTCATAATGGCGATCCTAGGCTCAGGAGAAGCCAAACTGCAGAGGAACAGGAAGCTCAGGACTGCGCCTCACCCAAGTTCTGGAGCCATGCCCAGTGTCTTTGTAATTATTTAGCGAGGAGGGCCAGCTTGGTAACCAGGAGGCTGGTGCCTGGGGGAGCTGCAGAACTCCCAGTCGGCCTGACTACAGAGGCGTGAGCTGGGTGCTACTCCATGGTTGCCACACAGCTGTCACCCAAGCGGAGGAAGGGAGAGAGCTTTTGCAGAAGGGGAGCCTGGCTGCAGAGTTTAGAGCCAGGCCCTGAAAGGGGGCTGTGTAGAACAGAGATTGCAGAAATCTTGTTTTTGTCCTCATCTCAAAAGTCCAGCACCCACCTGCACAACTGCTTATGTTCAAATTTTAGCTTTTCTGACTGCTTCGTGCCCGACCAGGGGAGAGAGCCAGCCTCTATGTCATCAGGGTGCTCATTTGTAAAATGGGGAAGGCAATCTCTACCTTGTAAAATTAGTGCAAAGATTAAAAGCCCAGAGAGGTAGCACACAGTGTCAGCTACACAGGAGAAAGTTCAATTAATTGTGGGGAAAGAAACCCTAATGTCTTTTTTACCAACTAGGACGAATGCACCCTATCCTACTGACAACAGGAAGAAAAATTGCTGAAGAATTCTCCAAATCCTGAAATAAAAGCCTTATGCCACAAACCAATCTTTTTCTTTTTCCTAATCAGGATTTGGTTTTTGGGTGTTTTTTTTTTTATCTTTTTTTTTTTTTTCCTACCACCTCCTCAAGCACGGAGCCTCAAATCATCTGATTTTCTTAGCCCCAGCCCCCAACAGAACAGGCAGACTCGGGTCTCCCAGAGCCAAGCCTCCTCCTGAGAGAGTGGAGAGGAAGAGCCAACATTCCGGTGAGATCACCCGAAAGGGACAGGGCGTCTTTCCGGCCAGGGCAACAGCATCCCCAGCCTGACTGCAGCGACGGGCCCCGCCCGTCCTTCGCCGCAGTCCCGGAAGGGCTCCCAGGGGCGTAGGGGCGCGGCGCAGATTCTCTGCAGGGCGGACTGGGCGGGGCAGGATTGCAGGACCCACGCCGCGGCGGGCGGAGGCGGCGGCTCCTCCGCGCCGCG